GGGGAAATAAATAAATATAGAATAACAAATGGTGACTTCATGTAGCAGAGTCTTCTTGAGAAGCTTTTAGTCATTTTGCTGAATAAGAATATTCTTGCCTTTCATGATACTTAAAAGTGCATTCATGCTGTATGTCACTGAGTACTTTCTCGGGAATTAGATAAGCCAAGCTTAAAAGCCGAATCTTATAACTTTTTTTTGTGGTTTCTTTAATAAGAGGAAAATTTTTATTATAGTTCATTCAGGAAATTGTTTCCTCGCTTGTTGGTTGACTTTTGCATGGGAGTCTCCACTTGTCTGTATATGCTCATTATATTTCATCTTATCTAAAAGACTCCAGTCTCTTCCTGACCCCTCTACATTTCCTTTGACTTGTCTGTTCGTTGTATGTGTCTACCCCATGTCCGCATTGTGTGAAAGGGCCAAGGTTCAAGTAGAGGACTGCCTGTTAGGGTGATGTGCAGCGGGAAATGGTCCCTGGTACCTCCAGGAACTTTGAAAAATGGCCAAATGGGCTGTAGTGAGACTTAGCAGTGGATGAATGTTTTTCCAAGAAAAATACAAATAAGCCAGCTGGATTGGTCATTCCGTGTTGTGCCGCCTTGGTCTCGCCCTCATGTTGGTGACCCAGGTAACTGCAGCTTTGTTGCAGGATACAAAAGTAGACTGAAGGTAAGGTTCCAGCATCTTAAAATTTAAATATTTTGACAAAACCCTACGGAAGATACTAATCCTTCAAGAGGACGAGGTTGGCTGATATCAGAAGTCTGGATTTTATATAAAGATGCTATGTGCCACACATTCCTGGGCTTATACAATGTAAGCTGAATAGATGATTTAGCATGAAAGCTGCTATTGTGAAAGTCTTCAGCACATGATGTTTGGAAATGCAGTGCACATTTAAGAACATTATAAGTTATAAATTTCAGTTAGGAGTGTCAAAAGTAAAGCACTGTCTACAGGTTCTCATGCCATCATCTCTTTGAATTCTGAATGCTTAGAACATAAAACTATCTATTACTTTCAGTGGATGATGTTGGCACTGTTTCTTCCAGTCATTTTTATGAAACTTAATTTAATTCAACACAGCAGTATCCAGGAATATTACTTCCTCATTCAAGAAGGATATCTATATTTTGTAATTTAGGCATCACGTTTGAAAGTATAATATACAAGCAGCATCTTAAATTATTAATGTAGGCACAGTTTTCATTGTTTCTGTAATTGTATCATTACTTTTTCATTACATGTGACCTCCTCCTCTTATAACATGAAAGAATAGCAAAAAATTTGTTTGCTTTTATCAGAGATGCCTTGGATCGTGATGATTCATAAATTATGCACTCTCTTTTGTCTGTGATGCCTTGTAAACTGTTATTTTGCCTCATAAGTATTCATAGACTGAAATGTGTATGCTGGTCATTGCCTGCATTTTGAATGAGGTCTTCCTCATAATTTAAAATTCCAGTTGTGTAGATAAAATAATAGTTTTAATTCTGCATCTTCCTTGCTTTGGGATAATATAAGGGGTCTAATAAAAATATATTAAGAGGTATAATAATATTATGGTATTCCTCAGTTATTCTGTTCCATGATCTTAGTTAAGAATCGTGTAAATAAAAAGGGATCACAAGAAAGAAAGACAAGTGGAATTTAACTTTGACAGTTCACTATTGATTGTTTCATGTTCCTGTAGATCAGCAGAGTTTTCAATTATTTGTACAATTCATATTTTTTTATAGCATCAATTTTTCATTTCTGTAAGAGAACCACAGTAGTTTATGTTTGTTTAAGTCATCGCAGTTCAGTGATATGTGGTAAATTATGCATTGCCTTCCATTACTGTTTCTTTGTCAATGTCGGTATTATTTACTTTGTATTCATAATTACCACATGGTGCACGCATTTAGAGTACAGTAATTCTCACAAAATAGATTTTACAATTTTATGTACAAAATAACAGTTTCAATCCTGCCTTCTTACGTTTTCTAAGAAGTTTTTAATGCACTTCATGTAACATCCTTGTTTACTGCATACATTGTCCATGATTTGATTATCATAGTATTAATTGGTGAATAGTTCAGATTATACAAGAATAATAATGTTAAGCTGGAGATAAGAGGGCTGTTGGATGAAGCATAAATTTATGGTCTTTCTTCTGTATGTAGATGTGCTTTAATGCAATTTTAAGAAGAGATGAAACTTTTGAGTCTGATAGTGTGCCTGCTCCTGGTATTTAATTTGAACAGGGCTCATTCTTTGGCTATTAATGATGGCAGTATAACTCTGGTTACTTCATTTATGACCCAGAACCATGTTGCATCTGCAGTTGTTTATACGTGTCTGAAGAAAGCAGGTAAGATAATTTGTAATTGAAATGATGTACCTATCAAGAAATCCACATTACCTGAGCCAGTACAGAGACAGATTACTCACTGCATAGTCAAAGGATTGGTTCTTGTTAAGGAATTTATTGTAATTTTATTCTGAAAGGTTAATGTTAAAGGACATATTATATAATCTGAGATTGTTTCCATAAATTCTGTGGTCCAGATAGCCTGCAGCTAATTACAGTTTGTTCCACTCGAGGACTGCGTACACAGATTCACATGCCAGACTCCGAGTCAGATATGCCCTTGTTGCTGAGCACCAGCTACTATCCAGTAGCTGTGATAGTTGATCTGGAGTGTGAAGGAAGCGGACAGTTACTGCAAATGGTAATAATTAGTAGTCAAAGAACATTTTATTTACAATGCTTTATAACGGTTTATGATATGGAGCAGGTAACCTTTCTGCCAGTCCCATCCATCTCCCATCCTCACAACCTAGCTGCTTTAGATCTGTCTAGATGTCATCTTCCTAGCTCCTTCTCATTCCCCCAAGTGAAGATTTCTAATGAGAATTCTGTATGTATTCCTTGAGTTCGATATCTTAGTGAAATGGACAGACTGTTGTAGCCTCTTGTATTTCACTGTCCCAGCAATACTGGGTGAACTGTATAAATCTTGAAGTGTGTCATTAAGTAGCATTTATTGTTCGCAAAAACTGAATTCAGGCATGCAGTCAACACATGTTCAGCAGACTGCACTACTGGCTGCTCGTGTCAGGAGAGGAGCTGTCGTCAGCTTCAGTGCTGGAACAGTTGTACCTGCCTCTGGACAGCCATGTGACTGTGGCACGTGTAGCATCTCGATACAACCAGACAGCACTATGGGATATTTACCATGTTGGAGTTGGTCAGTCCCTAACAGTCACTACTACTCGCTACTGGACCCCGGGACTGGAGCTCCCGGCAGCACCCCCACGGACTGACTATGGAGGGATAACTATTCCAACTGTCACTGTGGTATGTGGCAGACTACAGTGTGTAGTAATCAAGGTTTGGCGATATGGTGGTGAGGTACGCCAAAGTCCTTTAGTCCTTGAATAACAGATTTTGTGTTCAAGTGTGTAAATTCTTAACATGTAAATACAGATTGTTACCTTGTGATTTATTAAGGTCTAAGAACACTCTCCAGTATTGGAGATCATGGAACACGGTGACTGAGGTATTTGTTTCTTGTTTGTAAAATGCCTACTTTGGAACCTGGTCATAATTTACAAACTCCAAGCTTATAATTGCTCAGAATAAAAGATTATTAAATAAATGCTTAATAAAATTAAAAATAATTGCTTGTGCTTAGAAAGTGAACATACTAAACAAAAAATTGTAAGTGGTAATAAAATTATAATTTCTTTGTGTTTTATTATTTTTATAGGTTAATTCAAGTTTCTCATTTTTTCTTTCTTTCTCAGCAGCAGTTATTGTTTCTTTTGTAGCTGGTACAAGGCACGTGGGAAAATTTCCTGGACTTTCAGTACAGACACATCAACACAGAGAGCAAGGTTCAGTACATACTCATGGGCCACATTGCTACAATGCTGAATTTTAGGTAACACATAATCTTTTACACTTGGCACGTTAATATTACCTGTGTCTCTTCCTTTCAGGCTTTGTGACCAAAATTTTGTATTTATTTAATGTGTCTAAGTGTGTTACGTGTTCTGCTTATACCATTCTCATGTATTTTATTTCTTTAACAAATTGAGGAAACAAGTTGAGAAGTACCTCATTATGCAGTGTTTTCCATCCTCGTGTCACATATTCCTTCATGGGTCCAAATATTCTCCTCAGCATCCTAAATCCGTGAACTTCCCATGGGATGATAAATCAAATTGCACACTCGTACGGAACAAACGTGTGGGAAGATAGCAGATTCTAAATTGAAGGGCAGCAAGAATTCCTGAATTGAATCTGTTCTCAATTTCTCTGTGATGTAATTCTGAGGCACAAGTTTTCAGTTTGAAGAGTTTGTGACATGTGGTCTAAAGCATTGACAGTGTATATGAGCAAGGCTGAACCTGCAGACATCCTTTAAAGGATTCCATCCCTGAGAGGACGTCCCGGGCAACTGGCAAATGGACTGACTCGCTTTTACTTTTCATTCTTTCTTCTTTCTTTATTTTGTTGTCAACAGTAGAATGAGGGAAGGAACTAACTACTTGTGATCAGCTGTGTGTCCGCATGAATAGTACTGTTTGCTGAGTGTAACGACACATTGCAGGATGAAGGAGTGCTTGACAAACACATGGGGTTATCCCATAAATGGCTCAGAATGTTTCAATGGGGCAGTAGGATTGCTGCAGTGTGGTGGCTGCGAGATCGGCGCCACTGGACTCCTGTTTAAGAAAGAGCGCTTATCAGTGATTGATTATGCTGGAGAGACAATCACATTTAGGTAAGTAAGATTCTGTTTTGTTTTGGTTAGTTATGTGACTTGCTTGTAAGGACAATGGTTATATGAGAAAAGTTGCCTCTTGATGTTCACATGAAAGTATCCAAGAAGTCTCTTTCATGACATCTAGTTCCAGACCATTGGTGCTATATATGACATATACAGCAGAAATAACATTCGATGCAAATATAAAGTCTGATTTGTCTTATTGGCAGACCGTCAGTAGAGGAATGAGACAGTTTGTAGTTTTCCACATTTTTCATTTGTACATGTAATTGTAAACTGGAGTAATTCCCTGTATCTGACATGGATTCTGCCAACCATGTATGTTTCAGGGGTGCCTTCATGTTTCTAAAGCCGTCACTGTCTGAGGTGTCAGTGATATATGAGTTGCCCTTTGACACCTCAGTGTGGATTACTTACAGCGTGTCTGTGGCTATATTGACGTTGGTTTTGATGTTCACCCGACGGGTGTATCAACATGTAAATCCATCAGCATCATCTGATTCTCAAATTGGATGGGGTGATAGCATTATGGACTCATTGGCCGTTGTGTGTCAGCAAGGTGAGTGGACGTATATTATCGTTTTTATGAATGTGAGGTTTACATTTTTATATGCAGTCTGCACTGGGACAAATGCCATTTGATTTATTGTATAATACTATATTATGTCACCAAAATCTTGAAGCACATCTGCAGATGACGTGTTCAGGTGGAGCAACAAAAATATATGAAGTTCCCAGTGGTTTATCTTATTGATTCTGCAGTGATAGTGTGTGTGTGTGTCACTGGAGATAAGAGTGACACATACCTCATGCATTTGGACATTGGTTTTTCAGAAGTGTAGGATTTGTAGTGAGTTAGGTGACAGTGGGTCAGTGCCCCTTACCAAATGCTGTTTTCCCAAACCATGCATGATTAATGTATCATTGGCAATGGGCAGATCAAGTTGTGTGTTCTTTGACAGCATTGATGTGCTAAGAAGCAGTGAGGCAGCACAAATTTTAATCTCATCATTTCAGTGTTATTCTTGACAGTGTGTTCTGTTTATATTATGTCATACTATTCAGATAGCTGACATTCATTCATCATATATGATCATATCCTTTGCACCAGTTCAGTCAACTAATTGCAAGTTGCATTATTATTACAGATGCTTTGCACAACCCCAGAAACCTCTCATCAAGAATTGTGTTCTTCTTCATGCTGATCCTCACAGTTTTCCTCATTACTTCTTATTCTGCAACTATTGTATCACTTTTACAGACTTCAAGCAACGCAATCAACACGATGCAGGATCTCATGAAAAGTCCTCTGAAACTAAGTATGATCGATATTTTTGTAAATGTAAGTTTACAATTTTTATATTATTTATTATTAATCATTTGTGTAATAATTTTAAAAGTTACATATTATCAGTTTATATTTATCTTTCAGGAAACAACAGATCCTGAAGTGGCAAAGGTTTTCAAAGAGAAGTTATATACGCAGCCATTTAAAGAAGCATTTACTACTGAGGATGTTGGAATGGAGAAAATACGAAGAGGATTGTATGCCTACCATGGGCTTTCTGGGGCATATAAAATTATTAGTGATACATATGAAGATCATGAAAAGTGCAGATTTAAGGAGGTGGTTATGTTCACATCCCTACACCTCTGTTTAACAGCAAGGAAGGGATCTCCTTACATTCCGCATGTCAAAGAGAGGTAGAGAGAATTACATAAAATTACTGAAATACATTTATGTGGAGGAACGTTCCTTCAGATATGTTATGAAATGTTATATAAGACCTTGGACTTCCGGCACTACACAAGCAATGGAAATTGCATTGAGATTTGTAATTTAGAACACAAAGGAGTCTATAAGGCAGGTTAATTGAAGTGAATAGCAAGAGATATGATTTAGATTTGTTGGGAAAACAAGTCAGATGATATAAGAGCAGCATTGAACCGGCAGACAGTTATACATTCTCCTGTGAAAATGGGTATGTTAATTATCACTCCGGGAAAGGATTTTCTTACACAAGTAAATAATCAGCAGTTCAGAGGGCAGAGTTTGTTCGTGATAGAATGCCATATTCATCCTGTACATTTAACATTCAGATCTTATAAAATCACCATCAGAAACACACAGCAACGTAAGTTACTGTCTGATCACTGTTTTAGGACGTGCTGGCTGCGAGAGATTGGCCTAATTGACCGTGAAGACAAACGTTGGTTCTACCATAAACCCAAATGTGAAACGGCTGGGCAGAACTTTGTCAGTGTAGGTATCCAGGAATTTTATCCTGTGCTTGTGGTACTGGCATATGGTATTGTTGGCTCTGTTGGAGCTTTAATAATAGAGATACTGTTCTTCAAGAGACAGCAAATAAATTGTGCTTTAGACTTTACCAACAATGTCACTGTCATGCACAAGGATGGGAACTAAACAGGTAGACCATTGTAAGGTACCAGATTTACTGATAGAGTGATATTATAGATAAGTGTATTGTAATTATAGTTGTTTGTGATTATAAAATGTAATTGCTAAGGAATTGTTAATAGTGTAATTATGTACGTGAATAGTTCTGTTATATCGTATTTTGTTCTTTGTTATATTTCTGTAACAATGCTGTGTCTGTAGGTACTTTCTGAGTGTGATGTAATGTACCTTGACTTTGCACATCCATAGGTACTAGGATCTATAGAATGCATGTCTCCTTCTTGTAAAACTTTCCATCACTATCACAATATTGTGCTATTCCCCATGCTTTTTCTTTACACAGTTCCGCATTTTCTCCTTATTTCTTTTCCATACATTGTTTCCCTTTCCATGAGTACCAACTTCAGGGAACCCAACCTGTTGTTTCTTTGCTATATCCAGAATGAATTTTTTACAAGTGTGTTTTCAGCATCTGTTCAAAGAGCCATTTTGAGTTTTTCTGTACATTTTGCCAAGATTAATCAGAGAATACATTCTTATTACTTTATAAAGAATTTGTAACAATGAACATTGTTTATGGTGGGTTTATAGCATTCTGCCTAATCCCTAACCTGGGGAACCACCTCTTGTTGGTTGTCCTCACTGTGCATTCAGAATATTTGCAGTTATCCTTATCTGCAAGGTAAACACATGTCATGGTGACAATGAAACCTCATTACATGGAAGTTTATTTTTTTCTTGTTATCCACATTATAAAAATGTTTTTTCATTTGACTATTAGCAAATTAAAATACTGAGATGCAGATTCATGCAGCAGTGAACAACACTGAAGATTGAGGCATTACATTCTGCCAAAATGTTGGTAGCCTCAAGACAAGATGTCAATGTTATTTAATGGCCTATGGTGTGTTACTCTTGTTAAGAGTGAAAATGCTGTAAAGTTGATGATCTGATACATGTAAACAGAATTTAATGTAATATTTACAAGTGAATAATGTGCAAATCCATTAAGTTTTCCACACCTTAAAAAAAAGGTGTCATTTTGTGCCCTGTGTTATTTGACTTTTGTTGCTGTCTAGTAGCACTTCATGTTTGTAGTTGTGATAATCGGAGTTCAATTGTATATTAGGTACAGTAAAGCATACAAAGATACGCTCAGTATAACATAAACGCATGTCAATTTCCTCCATTTGTTTACACGTTGGCATACCTGTAGGGTGCAGACATCTGTTGGAAACGAGTGCAGTTATTCAGTGTGTTATAAGACTTGTGCATGTGTTGATGTGATATGGCGTCGACGGTGACACAATTTCCTCCAACGACGTATTCATCCTCCTACTTCCTGAGGAATGTTATTAAGGAGGTAAGAAAAACATGATATGTTTCTTGTTTTATCTTTACGTTTCCATGGTGTGCCTTGCAACCGAATTTTGGTGGAAGCCATGTGCCAAGCAGTCATTTGGAATCAAGTGTCACCTTATAAACCAAACCTCGTGGCTTAGACATGGAGCGTTCTTAAAGGCAGTTTTGTGTACCGTACGTATTATTTAGAAATCTGTTAACTGTGACGCATGTTTTTATTGCAGTTAAAAACCTGGTGAATACAGGCATTCTGCAGTGCTTGTTCATTCGTGCTGTATGCAAGGGTACTTTGATTTCGAATACAATTTGTTTACCCTACTGGAAGGATTCGAGTATAGTTTTAAATAGAGATAACGTAAAAATTTCCGAGAAACAAGCATGTTTACGCAGAGAAGTAATGGGGAGGATCGAATGATTGTATTTATACCTGGTTAACTCATTCGACTGCAGATATCTGAACGTATGTTATTAGTATTTATGTTATGTCTTTGCTAACGTGTACACCATATTTTTTATCATTTGACTGCCCTTATTTTTTTGTTTGAAATAGTATTTTAGCGTCGTACTATTTTTATTGTGGTGGGGAAACGTATTTGTTTTCTCAAGTTATGCATGAAGCAAGCCCCTGTTAAGTTACATTAGTGAAACGGTGTTCCAGGATAAAAGGAAGCAAGCGGATGGCGTGTCTAGGGCAAGTGTTCCACTACTTGGTAGTGTCGTAGCCACGGTAAGAACACTCATACCCTAATAAACTGTGATGTTACCTTACACAGAGAGTCTTAAATCTTGGTTTGAATTTCTGCCATTATGTTATTTGATAGGTTTGTTGTTAGTTGTCTTTAAATTAACATTATATTTACCAATAACTCATGAATCAGGTGGCAGTGAATTAGAACTATAAAAGATTATAAAGCCATGCTCAGATGTTTTTGATGATTATATTGTAAAATTGTGTGCCATGTTCTTGCATTATTTGTGTACTGTGAAGCTGAGACTAAAATGGCAGAATCTATAAGGGAAGCAATTCTTTCTTGTATATATTTCATTTCCAAAAATAAGTATAGTTTAGATTAATCCTTAAATTATTGCATTCATCAGTGTGCTTGAATTTGAATTAAGCTGTGTTTAAAACCACTCAGTTTATTTTACATAGATGCATTTTATTACACATACTTTGAGCAAATGTTTTTCTACATGTACATTTATTGTGCAGTCCTTCTTTTCATACCACAGATATGATGATAATTCTTACAGTTATTCGGCTTTATGTTTCATTCTTTGTACTTCATGAATGGGAATTGAATACTGGACGTATTTGTACATCGAACAAGAATAGTCTTTAGAATGCATAGAACCTAATTTCTCTCAAGTCTCTGCAAAAATGAATTTGCTAGTGACAGGTTTGGATCTGTGAGCTTATATTTGATGTGTATCTGCATTTAATAAAATCATGGAAGTATTTCCATGTCTGCCCAAGACGTACATGCGGAAAGTTTTGACTTAACGTGTGGGAAGTGAGCAGTTTGCTTACATTTGTGTGTTCATATGAACAATCTCTCATCTTTTCAAGCAAAAGAGCGCGTCTGTAGGATGTGAGTTAAGTCTTCATTCCCTTTATAGTTTATTAATGAAAGTTGCCATGTTTTATGGAACTGAGTGGGAAGGTTACCTTGACTCCAAGCTTTTCAAATACATGCAGGAGAAGAATTTTAGTGGCATGCTGAATAAAATGCATTTGAAAATAGGATTTTAACAGAGAGCATTTTAAAAGCTGTCATTGCCCCAGATGATAGAGCAGACCTCCAGTGGGTTCTCCCTTAAAATGTTCTGTGTTTCACGCTTTGAAGTACAAGTGAATTAGTGGACTATGAATTACGCCTACTGCATATTGATATTTGTAAAGCATCAGTTGTGACCAGTCACACATTCTGCCGCCTTGCTGACCAGCCCCATCCACATGACATAGCGTATTATGCACACTGGTGGAAGTTTCTTTACTTCGCCCAAGATTATTATTTGTGTAAATGGTGAGAATTTGTTTTATAACCTTTAGAATGCATATATAAACCGTTGAGGTACCGTAACACGTCAGTCACTGTGTGTTGTTTTATATTCATAAAAAAAACCCTGTGATTTCAAAATTATTCTCTCCGTTCTGAGATGTTTAAAATTCCTGTGGTTTCGCACAAGCGCAACATGTAATTTGTGTGTACAAATTTGTCTGTATGAAGTAGACGCAAAAATTAATATTGAGTCCTGAAAATATATGCAGATGTTTGTAATTAAGTAGACTAATTGTTTCATTAATTATGCATGCTTTGTGCGGAGTGCATAAAATTAATGTCTTCTTCAGAACCACAAATTCTTTTTTTTTTTCTGTTCATAATGGATTTCAATTAAATTTAGTTGGAGCCTACACAAAAATTGTCCAGCTAATTTTGGTCCCTACTTTACAGTAAATAAAACTCAGATTGAATTTACCAAAGCACTAAAAAGCTGTTTATTCCTCATACAAGAAATATAATGCAAACCACTGTTAAGGTTTATAAATTGGTTAGAAACAATTAATTATCAAAATTGTAGGTTATAATTTATTTCTGCGTGCGTTGTAATGTCTGCAGCAATACAGGGGATGTGGCATTTTGGTCTTGATTAGTTCAGTTAGAAATTCACGTGAAGTCCAGTGAGGTTGTTAAAATGCAAATAATGAACTTGTAAATTCTGTTTTCTCCAAATTGTCAGTGCACCTGCACCTTGTTTGATCGTCTGTGTGGTCTTTTTTTAGTGAAAGTCACGTAGGTTTGTCGGCTTTTGTGAAAGTTCTGGGAAAAGCGTGATCCTTGCCCTAACCTAAATGTGCGTATTCTGATCGGCGTTTAATTTCTTTCGCAGTTCTGAGCACTGCGCTGATTTAGCTCGCTTTGGCCTAAATGTTAACGCAGCTGTTGCTGTGGGACGCCGATCACAGCGTGCAGGTGTACTTACCTTCGCCCCTAGTAATTTTCATTGGCACATGCGTGGGAGTGCAGAGGGATGTTTGTTTAAGACACGAGAGAACCGTAAAGCTGTCGGAAGGGGAAATTTTGTGGCTGGCTTCCTCCTGTAAGCACTGGTCCCGTGAGCGCGAGGGCGTCTTTCAAGAACGCGGGCGTCAGGACGTCACCACGTGTGGATTGTGTGGCCTTATTCGTCGTAACCACGTGCAGCACCTCGCGCGTCACATCCCGGAAAGCAAACAGTCGCCATTTTAAGTGCCGTGAAAACCGCGTATCTGACACGTCAGCGCTTGCTTTGAAATTTTTCTTATAATGATGTCGTCACTTCAGGGGTTGAAGCATGTTTCGATTATTGTTGAATGTGAGAAGAATAATGCTCAATGCACCAAACAAAGTGCACAATTGCAGCTGTTACGTGTCGCAAAATTGTAGAATTGGCGAAACCTTTGCCTGCAGATGCTTTTAAATGGTGCCGGAAGTTAAGCCTCAAACCTCTGACAGACTCAGTCGATGCTACGACATGTTCAGTGAAGACGATGCGATTTCAATCGGTCTTGCTGTTACTTTAAAGTTGAAACGTTCCAAGTGGGTCAGATGGATCGAAACATTCTCACATAAATTTGTTGAATGAAATTCGATCAGAGCCGACGGACCGGCATAAATACCTGCGAATGGATGAGGACGCATTTTTGGAACTGTTAGGCGTAGTTGAACGACGAGGATTTGAAGTTCTCGGGGGCTGGTTGAGAGGAATAAATCCTGCAAGCCGTGCGTTTGCCCTCGACTCTGCCCACACACGTTACGACTTGTAAACATTCAGTAAGCCTCGTGGCAAAAATTCAAGCGACTGCAGATTTATCGGAGACTTGGTTTCCGGTCAAATTCACCACGCACGCTCCGGTTTGCCTTCAGGGACGCAGGCCGGAGCGTGCGTGCGTGGCCACCCTTACGTCGTAACTGTTGGGAGCCGGGCGAAATGTGATCGGTCTTCACATTACGTAAACAGCGTTTTGCGTCAGACTGTCCCGTCCAGCTTTCGCCCCTGATGGTGAATTCTAAAGCAAAGTTGAACGGCAATCATGACGAAGCATTTCTGGTATTAACGTTGTACTGAGGTCCAGTGGCGTTTTTTTTGTGAACGCGGCAATGAACCGTCGCAACCGATGAAGGGCGAGGATTTTTTAAGGGGCTTGCTTAATGAAGGTGGTGC